ATTTTTATAAAAATTTCTTGCATGAGTAATTTTACATCACACTACCTTTCGCGCTCTGTACGAAACTTCTTCGTTCAAATCTATTTCCCTGTCAATCTTCCCATCTTCATTAAAAGGTGTAAGATGACAAAAAAGAAGATCTTGAAGAATTACTCAATAATGTGCCTTGGTTATGGCAGGTAATTCGAAGAAAAAATAAAGTGTTACTGTTTCTTATTTGTAGAAGGTTTAAGATGAAAGACCACAACTAAATGAACTACTTCATCACAATACCTGAAAATTCTGACTTCACTTTACCTCTATTTACAATTTTCAAGTTATAGTATTTAATTTATAAATTTTGTTGTTATAATATTTTATATCTCTGAAAGAGTACTTACATTCTCTTATTTTGTTGATTACGGACATTGACCCTCAACAAGTCAAGCCCTATCAATAAACATCCTCCAGAAATATCATACCTTACTGTTAAATTTACCCAATCAAAGTTCAATGTACCCTTGTGCTGTATTATATATATTTGTAGTTTCAATTCATTCATTGTAGTTGACGTACCTGATGATGCCAGGTTAACCTGGTGAAATGTTGTACTTTCATGGAATTTTACTCTGTTTATCCGATTTATCAAGTTTACTTTTAATTATAACAGACTACTTCTTTTCATCGTATAATAAAGTGTAAATTTACTGTTTTTCAACATGGTGTTATGTTTTTACTTTATAACTGCATTCTTTAATGTTAAATATGGTGTATAATTGCTGTTTTTACATTATGTTACTTTGTAATTTATAATTTCACGTAACTGTTTTCTTTAGTGTTAAATATAAAGTATGAATTTACTTTTTTATACATTGTGTATGTGTGGCGTTACAACCATCTCTTACTTTCCACGATTTGTGTTCTATTGAAATTTGTGGCAAGTCTTGAACTCACAACTCTCTGATGATGGGGCAAACATTTGCAAAGTAGTATTAATCCACTTAATCATGCCAGCCTTTTAATCATGTGATAAATTACTATTTTAAGTGTACTAATCAATTTTCAATAAACAATAACAAAATCAATAAATTAATACAGTATTCAAATTTGCAAGTATCCATCATTTCATTATGCTAATAAAGCAAAAGCATGAAATATACATTTTTCTTCTGCATTGTACTGTACATCGTATAGAATAATAGTATAAAATATACTAAGTGCTTGATTATGCATTGTGTGTGATTGCAATATGGGGAAAAAATTGTGTTTGCAGTAACTTAACCAACCCTTGAAGAAAAAAAAAGGCCTCAATCCTAAAAGTTTTACATCTTTTCTTTCAAAGATGTAACAATATGTTTTAACAATCAGGCTAAAAGTCAACACTGTAATAAATTTTAAATCGAAAAACTTTATTAAGAAATACAATTTTCTTTTATCAAACATTATTACACTGCACCACAGCTTACCTCCATGAAAATAATGATTTTCATGCACATTAGGCACATTGGTAGCAATGACTGGAAAAATTAGGATAGATAAGTAGCATTTGTTTTGATTTTTTATAGTACATGATCCACATATGGTTTACTCATGTGTGTGTAATATTTGCTTTAGTAAGTTAAGCCAACAATCATAAACATTAATTATAATAAAAAATAGATTAATTACACATATATATAATATTATAAGTACCCAATAACAATATTTACTATATAATACTTTATATTCTAAATGTTCACAAGAACTTATTTTAGTTACTCATATTGTTCTATTTTAAATTCATGTACATACCATAAATAGATTTTCAAGTTCTTCATTATTAGTTGTCCATTTCTTTAATGCTAATTTAATGCCTATATTGTTGCATTTAAAAAGTGTTCTTATTTCATTTAAAATATCATTATTAAGTTTTGGAATTTGATACAAAAACTTTTTTCTAAACATTGCCTTTCTTTACTTTTGGGAACTTATAAGCTCCCAAGCTCTTCAGCTCTTGTTTCATATACTTATTCTATGTTTTGCCAATTCTATATAGCTTTGGTAAATCTATTTAATGTTTTATAGATATGTAAATTATATAATAAGTGTATATTAAAAACATTTGTGCTTTTATTCTATCATTATCATGCTAATTTTATATAATAAGTCTTAGCGGATAATTGGTTACCAATACTGTTTTCACAACTATCAAAATTTTTATTTCCCATGACACAGAAATTGAAACTTTTTTTTACAGCATGCTTATTTCAGTTTATTGATAGAAGACTATACCAGTATCCTTTATGGAGTAACAATTTCTTAAAGTATTAATCTGTAACAATGCTACCCAACTATTTATATGCTATAATAAGTGTGGTAGAACTCAGCTCATTATGTTCAGCAATGCTTTTTTAACTCGATGTCATCCATAAGTAACGAGTTTCCTCGTTAAGAGAAATAGCCTATCATGTAGGTGATAATAGGCCTTTCGTACCCATGTTTTCACGTTATGACCAAAGTGTATTCTCTCCTTCCTTTAAAAAATTTTAAAATACCTGATAATAACATGTTTGGAAAATTTGGGATTATTTTATTTTGCTGACAGTATTATCAATACCTGTTAAGAAAATTGGGGTTTATTTTATTTCATAGATAATAATAAAGAATTAAATGTAAATATAATTGTATATATAATTCAAAAACATAATCTTTTTCACTACAACTTAGTTTAGAAGTTCAACAATGCTTACAAATTACTACGAAATAGAAAAATGAACACCTGACAGTCTATGTTTATTTTTGTCAACAAAATTTCAGTAATTTTTAGTAGAGAAGTTTTGTGGACATTCGTAGGGAGAAACTTATAGAATTCTATTAATTGTATTGTCAGCTTGTTATAAGCTTGGTGCTACGTTACATGTACGATACATTTTCATATACAACAGTTTAGGGTTAAAAACCTAACTTAGTCCTACATTATTGTACCTGAAGACAGGGTTTCTTCTGGTTTTTTCATATTTTGACACCATCACCTTGTCCACTGAATTTTTTCTGCCATTTTATATATTTTTTTCTGCCATGAATTTTTAATCCAATTTTATACATTAATTCTAACTATATTTCAACAAATTTAACTCATAAATATTTTAGAATTGATATTTTGTTATTTTCCAACATTTATCTAATGTAATTCATAAAGATAAATTTAAAAAGGTTCAAATTTTCATTTCTGCATAGATCTGAGGAATTTCACCTGTGAATAATGTACTTGTCCATTGTTTAGAATTTTTCTGACCTTCCCAAAGAATAGTTAATTTTTTTCCAGGAACACATCATCCTTTCAGAATATTGAGTATTTAATAATGAAATACAGCTTTGAAAGCAGCTATAAAGAGAGTTTAATATGATTGGATAGAGCAAGAATAAAGCCTTTCACATTATGGTAAAGTTGTTTGAACAGTATTTTATTATTTTGAGGGAAAGCAATGATAGTTTTGAAGATATAGAAATAAAGCACAGAGTTGGAAATTGTTTTATAATTTCTTTAAACATTCAATGTAAATAAATAAGTTAAATAACCAACTACTTAATTATTTCTAAGTGCAATTTAATTGTCATATTTTAAATAAACATTATTACCATTACCAGTAATAATTGCATATGCTTTCATTATTTGATTTACACAAGATCAATGGGCAATTATCGCACAACTTAAGAACAAACGAAACGGCAACAATGTTGTCATCTCAGCATTAGTGATTTATCAAGTAGGAAATATTCAGACTACCATGAAAAACACTGTGCCCAAACTTTTTACAAAAATAATTTATAGCCAAATACATTTTTTCACCTTAGGATGTCCATAATATTAAATTATGGCTATTCTAAAATGGTTATAACTAGCTGGAAAATGGAAAATAAATCTTAAGTGAGAATAACTGATTAGTTGAATATAATCAATTAATCAACTGAAATTCCTCTAATTGACCAGCTGTACTTATAAAGAGGCATGTTAGTTAAAGAAATGTGATAATACAAAAAAGCTTATATTACTTTTGATACTAAGTTACATATAAGAGATTTTGAAACCTATTATATCATTTAAATTTTCCTGAAAACAAAAAGTACTAGTCAAGTCATATACCTTTCCTTAACACAAAATATTACCAAAGAGCATTTGAAAGACCTGAATTCAAACACTGGTGCAAAATAAATCAGTTTTATCTTTATCAATAATTTCACAATAAAGGCACAAAAAACTATCAAAAAGAAAACCTTTCTAAAGTTACCGTAATTGTCAAAAATGCAGTTAAGTTCATAAGATTATTAGGAAAAGGGGGTGCTTTATAATTGGTATAATACCTTCCTTCAAGAATAATCAAACTTCTACTCACAATGTCATACTTTTTAAAACATTCAGAAACTGCCATGCTCAAGTTGAAAAACTTTTCTGTATATTCAGAAATATGTGACATTGTTCCATTTTCATCTTTGTCGAGACATTCTGTGAAATGAACAAAAACATATATAAAAGTACACACTGAAACAGTTGCATTAACAGAACTCTCATGATAATATCATAAAAACAAAGAAGTAAGAGAACAATACAGTCACTACAAAAACATTTTATTTCAGAGAGGATAAGTAGTACCACAAGGATGATCAACAGTTCCAACTTTTCATAACAGAAATTAACATTTTGGTAAGAAAAAAAATGAACATAAGTAAGTGTAAGCTGTTTTAATCTTTTATTAAAACATCAATATTTTGTTTCTTTTGGAAAATAATTGACATATATTCATAAATACACACTTTTTTGTCTTATCCTTTAACCTGAGTGATATCATCATAAAAATAACACTAAGAATATAAAACTATTTAATTATCTCATTTCATTATTGTGAAACACAAGGCTACACAATGAGCTCTCTATGCTCTGATCAATGTGGGTATTAAAACCCAATTTTTAGTGTTACAAGTCCTCAGACTGAAAGGAGGGACACTTATATAACTGCCATATATAAAACATCCAACAGAGTTAAAAAAAACAGCTACATACATGTTCGGAAGCACAGTCAGACCTATGCTTCTGTTCAAGACTTCCATATTACACTACATTTTGCTAGCTTGTAACTACATACATATTAATAATGCTTGGAGACAGCTTGAATGGGTAATGAAGAAAAACTTTAATACAAGTTTAACATAACAAATGTACAACGTTTTGACAAGGCTTTGTCATCATCAGGTACAAGTAGTTTACACTGACACAGATATATATACACAGTATGGAACAAAGAGGTCACATGACCCGATACTGTTGCAAGACTTAGAAGAGATATCTTGGAACCCCATGGTGT